CCCCCTACCCGAAAACCCTCTCCTTTTATCCGTCTCTCTCGACCTCGCCACGTTGCGGCAGATATTGTCGAAGGTCGTTGTACCCTGGCCGTGTCGCGATCACCTGTCATTCAAGTTCTCCCTTAATGACAACTGGTCGGCAAACTCGGGGCGACCTCGGTCGGTGACCGTCTACTGTCAATGCTAATTTATTTAGGGCCCCTACGCATGTAGTTAGTGGCCGATAGAGCTATCCCCTGTTCCTTTCGTTGATTACATAGGCGGTGGGTAAAATAATGGTTTTCGAGAATCCCACGCTCCTACACTATATTGAAAAATAGCTGGAAACTGTAAACCCTACGTCTAAGAAAAACGGTAGCTCTGTAAAACAGAAGCATAAAGGAAAACAAAACCGAATGTCTGAAAAGCAATACGTAGGACCACACATGCATATGCCAATCCAGGATTATTTAAAAAACGAATGCTCTGTAAATTGTGCACGTCGCGTGCCGGCATCTTTCATTTAGCCTCATGAATCAAATGGACCTCGAGTCATCAAAGCAGCACTGGGTGTAGTTAGATTGTCTCTAAACGTATTATTAGCATTACGTAGCTACGTGTTATTTATACGCGCGTAACCCTCAATGACGTCCATATAATATGTGTAAACGTGCCTTTCAGATGAATATATAATGTTTTATTAAATTATTAAATTAAAGTCTTTACGTAGCAACATCAAGATGCCAGTGCCAAGTGTTCTGTCTATCACTGATTTTACAGTGTAACGTAATCACTTCACATTTATTTCCCCCAACTGACTGTCCTTATTGCACGTACTGTTAAATTCTGTTTGCTACGCATCCCGGAATGTTGTGACAGTAACTTTTTTTTATAGTAGGCCTAAACTTTCTTTCAAAAAGTGATCAATTAAACAATTTATTTTATACACTGTCAACAATAACGTAGTCTTGGTGACTCTCCTGTCTCGATAACCCCCGTGTCTTGGTGACCCCTGTGTCTCGGTAACCCCATATCTCAATGATCCCGTGTGTCTCAGGGCCCTACCTGGGGGATTACCTGCAGCTAACATCTGCCACGGGGCGCGTCGGCGGGTGGCGGATAGCCGAACGATATATAGATATATCTCCTTGTATTTTTTTTCTACTATCCTTTTCGTAAATACATTCTAGGTATTCTGTTTTTGAAAATATCTTCTAATCTATGACAATTTTAGACTGGTTACATAGTTGTCTATATTGACCATGTTTAAACCTCCTTATCGTACATCTTTACTGATATAGACTTTTTAATATTTGGATTCGTTTTAATCCAAATGAATTGGAGAAACATGGTGTAATTTTTTTTTTAAGTTTTAAGTCTGGGATTTAGAAACGACATCAGTAGGTGACTATAATTTAGGGGCGAACAACGAATTTAATAAATGTTGTCCCGAGTGGGGCTAAGTTACGATAGAGCCATATACTTTTAGAATGTTTTTTATGTTTTGTATCCTAGGAAGTAGATTGCGTTCTGTAATAGAAAATGTATCTAATACCGAGAAATCTGCTCCTAATGCAGTGAAAGAGTTTAATCACGTGAAAGTAACATGTCTAACGACACATAAGCACAAGGCGTAGGTGAATGTGATATACACTATATATATAGAGAGATTGGCTTCCTGGCATGTATATTTTTCATGATCTTTGTGATGTGGGATTTGAGTGTTAGTTATTTTGAATGTTTCCATTTTGTACTTTTTTCTATTAGCCACCCAAAGTTGAAAACAGTTGCAAACAAGCAAATTATGCTTAGAAGAAAGGATTTTTAATTTAATAGAAATATTTCGTGTATTACAGTACATCGAAACTTGACAAAGCATCTTTACAATAGACATGCGAATAAGTACAAATCAGGAATACACTCAATTCATTTACCGAAATACATCTATAGGCCTATAGCTTTCCGATTTATTGAAATGCTCATCAATTCGCGCATTGATGAAAGACATTGCATCGCCGTATTAGGGTTGAATTGGAGGCATCTATCTCCATTACGATTCCATGTATGTACATAGATCTCTATACTACGGTCTATTATCGCGCTCAGCGTTCAGAGACCTTTACACTAACAGCAAGTCGATATCGTCGTGCGCAGCGTTAGCCGTGTTAGCCATGACGTACATCGTAGCCTCCGCGTCCACTGTAGCCACCGAGTCCGTATCCGCCCCTGTATCCACCACTGATTCGACCACGGTATCCTGCGGCTGCCATGCCGATGACCTGCATGCGCGTATAACATATAACTGCAAACTGTGGACAACACAATGTCAAATAATTGACTGAATATATGGAAACATTTTTGATATGGGTATTAAGAAGCATATTTATGTATATCTTGCGTGTGAGCTACAGCAAATGAGAAAATAAAGCAACAGCGAGGGAGATGAATCGAGTAACAACAAGAGAGAGAGAGAGAGAGAGAGAGAGAGAGAGAGAGAGAGAGAGAGAGAGAGAGAGAGAGAGAGAGA